GAGAGCAAATATATCACAATCAGAATTGTGAAGTAAAAATTTGAACGAGTCTAGTTTAGGCACTAGACTACGGCAGTTCCACTGTAGCACCGTGATCATATCTTCAACCTCGTTCGACGAATTATCCATCGAAAGATATGATTGATGCAAGGAGGGGCCATGAAACAGTCAATTGCTTAAGATATGATTCTAACGTTGGAAGCAAGGCAGAAACTAACCCAACTAACAATTTTCACAATGTAAACGCTTTACTCATTTCATTTATACAGTCTCAAGCTGTATTCAAACGTTATACGATATGAGGAAACCTTTACTCAACCTCTATACAAGCGTATCTGGCGAACTTAGTAAGCTACTTATGGCTGTTGGAACGGTCGGGAGAAGCTCTTATTGCATATCCATTAACGCTCCTACACAGCTGTTATCCTGCTGTTTACACAGTTCGAAAAGTATTGTAAATTTCTGTTCAATATGATGCACACAAATGGAGCGTCATATATCATATAAGTTTACATTATATATCATGTAAAGTTCTAGCACAATTCATGCTATGGAGCAAATATTGTATACAAAAGCCCATCTTTGTAAACAACATTGTTTACAAGTTGCTCGGTTGTGTGAAATTAAATTTAAGTTTACGTGAATGAATGTTTACATCACAATTAAAATTCAGAATTTTTATCTGTGTAGTTGTGTGTGAACTTGAAAGGCGCTTATTCAACCTTTTCCCGGTTATCCAATAATCACTACACAGCTTTCTCTTGAAGCCGGGTTAAATACTGTTTACGCTTTTTTATGAAGGAATTTATTGAGTTTATTTTGCTGTGAATCAAATTAATCGAAATTAGTTACAAATCATCACCAAATTATTTACTCTGCACCGGAACCTGGAATCAAACTCGAGACGAACTCATTGGCAAACCTTGACACTACCAACTGTGCTACGCCAACACTTTGAACTTATGTAAACAAATCAACATTCCCTTCTACAACAAAATCGCTGAGTAGAGGCTTTATAATAGTGCACACTGCACTCTGCTCACGACTAGTTATAAAAGAGCAGATTAAAAGCTGTAAAACTGCACACGTCTAAAAATAAACCTAGTTGACTGTGAAAATGCTTCCGAAGTTGCTCTAACACAGTTTATAAGCTGAGTACAGGTTGTTTAGTTGTTGAAAAAGCACTTTTGATGTTTAAGTTATTCAGCAAGAGTGGTTGGTTGTTTAGAAGCCATCAAATGAGTAATATATTCACTTTGTTAGCTTTGTTTTGCAGCTACAAGTTGAAAGTTGATTAGTGTGTGTATAGAAGTGACATTAGCGTTTATTGGCTGATGTTATTCAGTGCGACTGACAAATTGAATAATGGTTGTGAGAAAGTTGAGTAAACGCTCTCCAAAACAATTTTGCTAGCTTTTGCTTCTAGCTGTATCTGCAGCTTCTTTTCAGCTACTTTACAGCACAACGCTGGAAAAGTTGGCTTACAAAGCTGAAAATGTTAGTTGGGTATGCCTTGAGATCTTCTTGAAGTTTGAAATTGCCATTTGTTCTCGTAGTTGCTGATTTGTGTATTTCCTTCCAAACACAAATCACGAATTGGAGATCCCCATAGTGAGCAGTTACAGGCCAAATAGCGAAAAAAAATAACAAATTTAAGATTCTACCTCTCAGAATTCCACGAAATTTCTACACATACGCATTATTGAAAAATATCTAATTCGTCATTTTGAGAAATAAGGCGTGAGTCAAGGGGTAATCAACTCTGCACACTGTACCGAAACACAGCATGGCACACTGTTCGGCACATTAGGGCACACGTTGACAAGTAGAATACAAAACATATAATATAAAATGGCATCACTGTCGAGCGTTCAAGTTTTGCCAATCGTTGCTAAGGATGAATAGGGTAACTGATGATGGTTGGACCTATTTAAGCCGGTTTCACACGACGTCAACATTCATGTCGTATTTTTTTTATGAATTCAACATATAATTATGAAAAATGCGTGATTAGAGGAAAGATCTACCTTTCTTGTTTCTAATAATAACATAAAAAATTAAATATTATGAACAAATGATTATATAAAACGTTTTTATTCAGCAAAGAATTATGATGTTGGTTGGATCTATACTGATCTTGGTTGGACCTAAAAAATGATGATGGTTGGACCTATTTTTGCAAATGCTAGTTTAGCCCATATTTGTTCAAAAACTTTGTTTAGAACTTATTGGTATCATGAAAAAACCCTTTTTATACAGTTTTTTATTAATGTGCTATTTAAAAAATCAAGAAATTTGAGTTTAACTTCGTTTTTAAAAAAGTTCACTTTCCACGCATTAGCTATTCATCATGGCTCATTTTTTCGGAAATCATTGACCCGATTTGGAAAATTATTTAACCTCAAACTATAGGTATTGTGGTCCCATTGAAAGCTATCGAATATTTTTGGAATCGATCAGCTGGTTCCGAAGATATGGCCGGAACAAGTTCATGGACCTAATGGACCTAATTTTGACATGGAAGGAATAAAACCTATCATGCGACACTTCACATTACTTCCAAATTCGATAACAAGATCAATAACAAAATTGAGTACCTTGGACCACATTGGCTACTTTCGGGCATGTTCTGGGAGCCCCCGGGGAATTTAGGGGCTTAAAATGACAGAATATCAGAACTTAATTCCGGTGTTATAGTTTTTTTTTGCGGAAATAAGTTTCAGTTAGCAATTTTTAGTTTGTTAACATTTTATTTCAAGTTAATTTACACACAGAAGGTGTATGAGAAGTGCTTAATTTTAATTCATATTAGGGCCTGTTCATAAACTACGTAGACAGTTTTTTTGGGATTCTTGACCCCCCCCCCCTGCGTAGACAATTGTCCATACAAAATTTTTAAGATTTGTATAGGCCGTGGATAATTTTCAACCACCCCCCCCCCCCCACCTCCTACTTAAACAGTCTACGTAGTTTAGGACAGCCCCTTAATAGATTCTTTCGGAGCTTTCGTGGTAGTTCGGAAATCGGTGGTTACCCTTTCAGCCAACCTGACGATGGACCTCCTTTAAATTTACGCCCAACTAGTGACACAAGGTCTTTAGCAGCTTCCAAGATCTTCTTGGTCGTCTTGGGACTGCCAGAAGCAGCGCACATACAAAACCTAATCCCCTAGCTGGTTCTCCAAATCAACACTCAACACTATTTCCCTTCCATATTTCTTGCCGTGGCTTCCCTTCGGAATATTGTACCTTTTCTGTGCCTGATAAGTGATTTATTTCTTACTAAAAGAACAGCCTCTTGAAGATTTTCGACCGTATAATTCTTTTCTTTAGCCATTTTTTCAATCGAAGAAACTGATCACTCGGCCAAAACGAAATCGAATTTCAAATCAGCTGCGCATGAAGGATGTAGACAAACCGAAGCGCACCTAGCGGTCGTCAGATTTCCGGAAAGAGTGACTGTTTGTAAGTAAATTACATTCTTTCTTCCAAACAGCCCTTGAAAATATTGCTCATCATTTCTGCTGATTTGTTACAAGTGGAGATGTTTCTGACACAGGTGCGCAAAGCGTACAACAATGCCATAACCGAAACAGGAACGACCGGCAACATATCCTGCATCATTCGATGGTCAAATTCACGTTTGGAACGAAGGATAGAACAGGATATTTTATGAGAGTCGGGCTACATTTACAATTTTGTTATGTAGAATAACTGATAAACGTCCTAACGCCCTTCAGTCTAACATACTTCGGCTTCATGACCCAGCACCGAATAATCAATAAAGACAAAACGATTATCATAGGGGTTTTTTTGCCAGGTTCGAACATCGGTTTTGCCGAGGATCTTCCGGTATGGAACTTTTCTCGTTTTCCCCTAACTGTTTCCTCAGATATTATTGCTTGTTATTCAGGCCTATGAATCGTGTGACTCTATGTTACTCGTGAGATGACAAATGTCACGTCGTGTGACATGACTCTCCCAGGCCTATTCTACGAATCGTGTGACTCTCTGTCACTATTGAGGTGACTCTCCATTTGATTTGCACGGAGATTTACCTCACTAGTTCAATTTGTTCATCGCAAGTGGCCCCGGTGCGATGGGTTCCCGCTTGACAACCCTAAACAATTTTCTATTTAGCAAGAGCTTATGGGATTTTCAGAGACATACAATCTCTGATCACGCCTTCCTTAATGAAGGGAAGTTCCCAAGTAACCAAGCCTTATATTGCAAAAAGGTGAATTAGCGGGTTTGTTGGTTACTTGGGTAAAGCCGTTGGTCCCCGGTCCACGAGTTGATGGGTCGATAGGTAGGGTCCTGGTGTGGGAGCTGCCTCAAGGAAAAAATAGCACGCAACGCCAAAAAGTAAGCCAACACTAATGTTTTTCAGGAGGGATCTTTCGGATACGGAGTTTTCCTCGAAAAGAAATAGCCCAAATTCCGAAAGGTTATGGTTCAATACTTGTTTTTATTCATCATTGTCATATCTTCACTTGGCATTTTCGAATATTTTCAACATTAGACTGATTACAGTTTCTTCCAGATTCGTAGATTCTATTCTCTGTTCTCGTATAAATAAGTTATATACAGACATATATGAAGAAAAGGGGATGCATCTGTGGTGTAGGAGTAGCTGTGATAATGTTAACGGCTACATGGAAATGGAGACTTCTCTAGAGTAGCAGATCTTCCGATGGTGGGAAAAGGCTTAAATGAGTGTGTCACGAGTATGAAATGCGGGAAAAGGGAAACAGCAAATCTACGATACTTCTACATACTATGACTAATTGCAGGTACAAAAAATGATTCGTTGCAGTTTAACTTCATTGGGCTGCGAGTTTTCATGTTGTTTTCTTTTCAGTTGTTTCGGGATATCGCTTTTGCGTTTTTGCTTTGCTATTCGAGTGTTTCTATTGCTCTCTGTAATGCTCTATAAAGTAATCGGTGAGGTAGTCATTTCGCGGTTCCTTACGTGCCTAGTATGTACAATCTAGATTTTTTGTTGATGTCGAGGAAAACAGAAAAATAAATACAACTGCTACTTTTTCTATCGCGGAAGCTTAAATTACGCTAGACGATTTGTCGCTCATCTAAAAATTAATGCTAAGTACTGGGTTCAACTGTCGCCATCATTCTCCGCTGCATCTCTGTGTAAAGCTTCTATATTGTACATGTGCTTAAAAACGAAAAAAATAAATAATGCTTTAACGTAAATGATTCAGTCTGGTTTAGTTTGTTTTGTAGCTCTTTGCATTGCTTAGGTAGTTATATATACATGCACTATGAACAGTATATTTGTTTTTAATATAATCTCAACAAAAGTGAGCTGCATTTCTAAAGAAAACGTGGACCGAATCGATTGTGGGGAAATCAGCCAACTGGCACGATCGGAGCCAGTCGGCCAACCAAAAATTTAGAACTTAGAAACACATCTTGCTCGAATTATGCAACCATTTGAAGTTAATCAAATATTTCGCCTACCACTAAAGAGGCCTAATGCAAAAATAAATTATCATCTATCTATCCGGATCTGTTCAGCTATTTACATTACACGTGGGTGTGTCGAGCCTCGCGCTACGTGACCTGCTGCGTTAGAAGGTTGACCAGCTCCGCGTGGTCCATGTTGTTCAGGGTCTGCATGTCGACGCCGAGAGCCGTCGCCACAGCGTCCATATCCAGCCCGAACGAAGCCAGCAGCTCGAGGAACTTCATCTCCTCGCCCGTCAGCGGATTCGTCAGCGTCGGACAGGAATGGTTACACTGCGGCCAACTGCACCGCTCCAGTAACCGGAGAGAGCATTTCTTTGGTTCCACCAGATCCAACCCGAAGGGATTCACATTCTGCTGCTGCTGATGCTTTCGGTTGTTCATGTTTTGGCGGTTACGATTTTTATGATTCAATCGCTTCTTGTTCTGATTTCGCAACCGATGGTGACCATTCTGGTTCTGCTGCTGCTGCTGATGCTGCTTTTTAGAGTTGGGGCTGCCATTACTAGGACTATTACTATTTTTACCGGTACTATTTGGCGATCGCTCTAGTCTAGGAACTTTCGTTGATAGGGATTCTTCCAATCTCTGTTGGTGGCGAGTGTGGTTCTTGCCTCCTTCTCGTCCGTTGTTCTTATTGTTCAGCCGGTTCAGCCTTCGCTGTAGCTGCCGTTCCTGACGTCTGCGTGCGCGCTCTTCTTTGGTCAGCTTGGGTCTTGGCACTTCCTCCTGTCCTTGTCCACCCTGATCGTTTTGCTGCTTCTTCCGTCTGCCCCCGTTGTGCTTTCGTCGCATTTTCTGAGGACTTGGATTACGATTCGACTGGCGCCGTTGAACCTGACGATCCCGTACGTCCGACTGTTCCCAACAACGAAGTGCATCTGCCAAGCTTACATCATCGATCTTGATATTCATCCAATCTCGTTTAGTCAAAACGGAATGCCCGATACAGGAAGGAGCAAACACGGCCGTGACGTTGTTCAATGATTCCCGCAGAGCACCGCCCATATCGTGGATGTAGTCCCACTGTTGAGGCGTTACCGGAGCACCCACGTGATCGGCTCGCATCTGTGCTTCATCAAAAAGCCACTGGAACACGAACAGGGGAGCTAAAACAGGTAGATAGACTTGTTAGATTTACAAACCACGCTAGAGGGGTCTTTAACACTTACCCTTCAAGGTGTTGTACAGCCGGTGGCCAAAGTAGCACCTCCACGGTTCCTTCGGGTGTTCGGCTACGCAAGCTTGAGGCAGTGCACCGTCCCACATTCGCCATCCCTGGCGAACGGCTTCCGACGCGGCGACCGCTCCCGCTGTGTACGGTTCCCGGTCCAGAAACCATCCGGAGTCACTGACGCCACGGACGCTCACCTTGAGACCTGCAAATGGTAGATTGATAATGTGTGATTTTAGTATAATGAAGCTGTATGATGGTTAAAGGAATGGAACGAAAGTCGAATTACAAATATCATACGTTTAGAGGCCAATTCTACGCTTAATTGAAATAAACTAATGGTTTTTTTATTGTATTAAAAAATCAGATAATTTATTTCAGGTAAACTTAACGATTTCTTTTCTAACGCGAACTAACAACAGATAACAAATATGGAAACGAAAAGTGCACGATCCGAGATCTTGCCAGACCAGCTTCATGTCACGAATCATGACAACCATCATTTCGTTGGTGTGATGTGGTGTAGGAGCCAGACGCAATTTTTCCTCGCCACGTGCTACCGTTAGGTAGTTTATGGATTTCACATAGCGTCCAAAACGTTTGATCATCAAATCCGATACCTCGGTGCATTGGGCCGGATTTCCAATTTTCACTGGAATGATATGACTTGGGGTATGTTCCCCCGGGAAGCCCTCTTTTTGCAGCAAACCGCGAAGGTAGCGTACGTTTTCCTGGTGACGAGCACGTAGTTCACGCCCTTCGTCCGAAGACAGGATGTCGATGGCTTTCTGTGCACCACACAGCCCAACAAACAATTTTAGCTGCAGACTAGCTTATGCAGGCAAAAATTAGCTGTATAAGCCAATTTTTAGCTGTATAAGCTAATCTGCAGCTAAAATTGTTAGTTGGGAGTACTGTCGGATGCAGCGAAGTGGTAAAGGTTAATCCGGTAGCATACGAACGCACCATGTCCACCAGGAGAGAAGTATTGGAAATGTAGCCTCCTACGTTACCAAATGCTTTGCTCAGTGCTCCGGAGATGATGTCCATCTTATGCAGTAGCCCTTCCCATTCGCCAACTCCTGCGCCGTGATCGCCATATAGACCCACGGCATACACTTCGTCCACGAAGGTCAGAGCACCAAACTCGTGAGCTACATCGCAAAGTTCCTCCAATGGACAAATGGCACCCGTTCGGCTCCGTAAAGCTAACTCGATTGTGCCTTCCAAATCAACGAACTGGATTAAAAAATCGCTCCCGTCATCGAATGGACACTTTCAAATGCAATAGTTTTGGGTAACGATCTGTCATCGAAGCATGGTTTCCAGTATCTGAGAAGATATGACAACTGGGCAGAGCCTTGAACAGCGTATACAATGGCAACATGGCACGAATTGAACAGCAGAGCTCCCTCCTTTTGATGAAGCTGTGTCAGGCGGTTCTCGAGATTTTCGTGATTTAGCGAATTTCTGGAAATGTTCCTGGGTCCACCTGCACCGGCTCCGTAGGTCGGCCAGCGCATTGGCCACCACATTCTAGACCTCCGGATGGCAGGACATTCCCAGGTAGTCGTTTGAGCACGACACCGTAATTGGGCGCTCACCCCAGGAATACTCCATTGCACGCGGAAACTTACCGGCTTCGGTCAAGCGGTTCATCTTCTTGAACACACGGTACGAGTGGTCCTTCTTGTTGCGCATGATTTGCTCATGGAAGAACTCGTCATACTGGAACGTACGATTGGCGGGAACATCCACGCTCTCGACATCGAGTTCCTTAACATGCGGAGCAACAGAGGTCAACAAGGGACACTTCTTTGTCTCCTTATTGCCCTTCGGGTGCTGCAGCGAGCTCAGGTTATGGCTTGGGGTTTTCATCTCCAGCTTTTGCTTGGGAGTCGCAACGGATTCCTTTTTGGCGGCCACCATTTTGGCAACAACATCGGCACCGGCTGGTGGGTTCTGCAGGTTCGATATAGTACGAGCAACCACCGGGCATTGGCCTTCAGCAGGGCCGGGGCGTAGTTACGCACGTAGCTGGTGCTCAGACGAGTCAGGACTGGGCAAGGCATCTTTTTAACACTGCTTACCGAACGGAACAGTGTTGATGTGGCGAAATTTAGAAGCTTTAAATACCTTCCCTGCACGGTTTCACTTGATTGGAAATTCTCGAAAATATTGCCAGAAATCACTACGAACGTATGTAAAAATTACATCGGATAATGGTCATCAAGTCATCCCCGTTCTGAAAATGTCCATATTGTAGGGTATCTAACACTTTTTCAGAAACCAAGTCGCCATCTTGAACCCGAATATGACATCGGTAAGGATCTACTCTATGTCTCCGTTCCCCGTTCCGTAAATTTCCTTATAGTTGAATATCTGAAACTTTTTCTTAAATCGAATGTCACCTTATTAAATACCAAAATGGTGATTCATTCATTCTTTCTTTATTTAACGTCGGTCTCTGTTCCGCAATCTAGTGACGGACATCGATTGTCATCCATTGACGGCAATCGAATGTGCAGAAAGGCAGTTTCCACACCTGCGTAGGATATCGAACACACATGAGCCGGGACCAACGGCTTTACTTTCCTTCCGAAGGAAAACGTGACCGGGGTTTTTTAAGTCTCAGGAAAATTCCACCGACCTCGGCTGGGATTGAACCCAGCCCCATTGGAGTGTGTGAAATCAGTCACGCTTACCTAATGGTAAGCCGGCGCCGGCTAATACCAAAATGGTATAGGACATGAACAAGTCTTCTCCGTTCCGAAAAAAAAATATACATGGGTATCTGTCACTTTTCTAGAAACCGGAAGTCGCCATCTAAGAATCCAAAGTGTTATCGGAAATCGATTTCGATCTCTAAAAATTTAATTCCTTATTCCGAAAATGTCCAATACAGTGTTTACAATTCAGAATTTTGGGAAATTTGAAAATATTAAGACTTTAAAGACTTTGGAGTTAACATAGAGCATTAAGAGTTTGGAGCTTATTTTTATATTTTGGAACTTCCGGTATGCTTAATAGTCCGGCCACTGAGCTTTTGGAATCCTAGTGACTTCTAGCACTATTCGGAATACTGGTGACTTAGGTGATTTTTGGACTACCAGTAACATCCCCAGCTTCGGAACTTCATTAGAACTCCATGCGCTTCGGAAAATTCCGATCCTTCAGGATCTTTTAAAGCGTCCGTATAATTGCTGGAACTGCAACCATCCAGAAGGCAGTCAGCAGCACTTACTCGGAAGAAATTTGAAACTTCGAACTAAATAGCTATCAGAACTTTTAGCACCACAAGAACCCTTAGAGCTGCAGGAATTTCTGAGAATCCAGTAACCCTGAGAACTTCTGGGAACTTCAACATCGAAAACTGGCAACCTCATCATAGATTCCAAAATGACATCGGACATCAATTTTTGAACTCTGCACGTCGTCCATAAATTTGAAGAATTTCAGCAACCAGCAACTTTTGGAACTCGATCAAACCCGTAGAAATCCAAGAAAGCCATCTAAAGTTTTAGAAATTCGCATTAGGTTCTTTACAAACGTCTAATTTCAAAAACAGCGCCCCTCAACCTCGAGACGTTCCTATACTGCTAAAACTTTGGCAACTCCCCGAATTGCGAAAGCATTTAGATCTCGAGAAGCTATATAGAATCCTTCGAAATGGATCCATAATGTTTCGTTCATTAATTCGCTACACAAGGCAAGATCCATCTAAGAAACTACCTGTCCAGTTGTGGTACTTCCTACACGAAGCATGGATCAAGTTTGAATTCTCCTATTTACTATGCGGCTCAACCAAACCATCATCAAAAACGCTCAACACTTACCCTTCTCATTCTGCAGAAAACTGCGCACCTTGTCCAGATTGAGCATCACTCCCAAACCGCCGGCGGAGGATCCCGCCATCAGCAGGTCGGCTCCCTGCGAGTGGCCCAGCCCCAGCGGTATCAAGTCGGCAATCACCTGCCGCACAATCAACGAACCCATGAACCGAAGTCCGTCCCTTGTTTCCGGCTTCACTTTGGTTCCACTCCACGAGTCGCTACTGCAGTACGGTACGAACACATGGTTGGCGTTGTACCAGTAGGGATTCTCCGAAGGCACCGGAGACAGGAGACCACCAACTGTGGAGCAAAAGGACAATTAGAAGGCTGTAGGAGTGCGATTGATGCGAATGACTTACCGTCTCTGGTTTCCGGCCACTGGGCTGAGGTCATCAGGTGCCTTAACTTGAGCCACCTGGCACGGCAGGACTTGTGATCGTAGCAGTGCCAGCCTCCTTCGAAGAACACAACCCATCGTCTGGAGCCGGGTGATTTCCGTAGGTAGAACCCCGCCTGCGAACCATCGTTACACGTGACGGTCCGATTGGATAGAAACACGCGCTTCAGTTCCTTCTGAACGGTCATCACCGTCGTCGTCGTTGTCGTCGTTGTCATCGTGGTCGTGTTCGATGCTTCCGTTGAAGGCTGCTGGGGTTGACCGGAACTACTGCTGTCACCAGTGGCGACACCATTCGATTCACCATAGCTGACAGCTGCCATAGCCGATGACGCCCCGTTTGACGCTTCCGTTTCGCCGGCCAACCGTTGAATCGAGTTACTTTCGATGGAAATATTTGCCTGCCGCTGTCGTTGGTTGACTGCTGCTGTGGCCGTCGCTCCTGACGCCGCTCGGCAATGGCACGGAACGGTGAAATGCGCCACCATCAAACACACCGCCAGCGTGGCCTGCAAGAGGGAAGAGATCGATCATAAAATTAATCAAACTGTCATTAAATAATTTGTGACGCGAACTGCTGCGGCGGCGGTCTCTCAGAGAAACTGCTGGCATGACAGAAAGTAAAAAAAAAAATCTCAAACTTACTCCCCTGGAACAGCCCGTTCCAACAGCGGAAACCAAGGCGGAGAAGGCGGACAAGATACAAAAGACATCAATCATCGACCGGTGACGGAGATTTTGACGGCATCAGGCGACGAACCCGATCGATTTGTTTGATGCGGTTCACTTTGCAGATGCCGCCGCCGCCACCGTTCGTTTGTTGTTTTTCTCCGAAACGTGATGTCTTCTTTCACGTGAATGATTGGAAAACGGAAGATACGTGCGGCGCAGTATTGAATTGATTTGGAGAAAATTAACTTGCACCTTCGATCCTCGTACGCCCACAGAATTTCATAATTTCACGCTTAAGGACGAATACTCGAAAGCGGCATTAAAAAAAGTCATCGAATCAAACAAGCGAACGTAAACCACATCGAATTTAAGGCAACGCTTGGCAGAGCAGGGGAGGACGGTCATCGATCGCGATGCATACAGCCCTTGCTCGCTCGGCAAGCCAAGTAGCACAGAACAGAAGGGGAAGTGCAAACAAATCGGTGAATCAAAAAGTGCTCGTTTTTCTGCTCAACGAGCGATGTGATGTGGTAGCGTTCCACATGGGCTTTCTATGTGCACTCACACTATAGCATGCTGCCTATCTTAACTGCAGGCCGAAGATGCCTTCTACCGCTAGGTGCGCTAGTGTTCGCAAATGACCAGTGGAGCCACTTTCTGATTCGAAGTTCCACTCCTGTGCAAGTAGCCACCAACCATCATCATCCAGAAAAAGGCGGCACTTTGTGTTCTGCTGTTCCCCATCATCTGCTGCTTCGTCTTTGGTCGTCGTCTCGTGGCTGATTGCTGCTACTGCTACTGCTACTGCACTGCCCAGTTCAGTTGTAGTAGCAGCGGCACGACACACACCACTAATGGGCTTTGAGGTTTTCTTGATCGGTCGTCGTCTTGGTGGTGCACTGGCAGGCACGCAGGTAATGACGATATGCCGCCTTTAATTCTTCTCCTTAGTGCTCCTTGGAGTTGTGCTTTCACGCTCCGTTTAGGGTCAACAGCAACAGCAGCCAACGGCAGTAGCCGGCTGGAGGCTCAAGACCGGGTGCAAACTTTTATTATGGTTATGACGCTTTTCGATACGGATGCCGGCTACCGGACTTTGGTATCGGTTCAAGAGAGGCGTGCACTGCAGCAGCGGTAGCTGATCGGTCTGGGCATGAAACAAGGGGCAGCGTATTTGCAGGGGAGATGGGTGATAAATAGAAGTATGTACTCACAAGGCCATGCAGATAGGATGATCCGGATCATGGGTCCGCTCAAAATTGACGCAAAAATAGTTTGAATACAGTTTTCAAACGACCCAGAATACCGAGTCAAAGATTTCAAAAAAACAACATTTTATGCATTTTAACTTCTAATTTAATACTCTATAACTACTGAATAAATCTTTGAAGAATTGAATCCAGATGCAATTGCAGATCTATATTTGAAACCTGTACCATCGTGGCGGGCTGCTTTGGACACTTTTCAGGTGTAAGCGAGTTGTCATTGTGGTCATCACATTACATACCTTTATGGCATGTAATAAGAAGCATATGAACTACTAATTTGAACACATGGCAAATGTTCAATTGTTTTGATAATAAAATAGAGAAAATCAATGGACATCATAAAATCCATCAAACATAAATAATCTGTAAAAAATCATAGTCAGATCCGTCAAATTACTGGTTTAACAGAACATTTAAAAAATCGATTTTTTTGGTGTGATGGAGATTTAATATGGAGAAACATGGTGTTGTGCGAAAAAATAAAAGGAAAACATCGACGAGAGCTTTTTAAAATCTGAAATGATGACTAAGAGAAAACAATTTGTGACATATTATTTACTCACTAAGTCGGCAATTTAAGTCTGGGAAGGATCTAATCTAAATGACATCTTAATTCTGGGAAGGATCTAATGATATTAGCTAAGGATTTTATACGATCGAGTATATTGAGTATATACACCTGCCAACATAATTGGTAATTATACTTAATTTTTTGAAAATACTTCTACAATAAATTGATCCTCTCAACACAATATGCTATAATAAGCTAATGAATTGAGTCTAAGAAATTTATGTGTAGTTCTTTGCAATCATTTTTTAAAATGTCAGCAACTCGTTTTTTATTTGGGAGTTCGCTAATTTGGAGACGTTTTCAACTAAAAAGCAATTTTGCCAATTCAAAAGTACCCAAATTTGAGTAGGATCGATCCAGATCGGTCAAAACTGAGTTGGGGTGACAAATTATCAAATGAACAATATCGATCGGTTTAGGTTGATGATGTTCATTTGAGTAGGCTCAGTTTTGACTAAGTGGACGCTATTCAAATTTGGGTAGTTTTGAAATAGCGTGTTTTGCATGAAAAAGTAAGAGGTTGTATCCAAGACTAGACCGTAGATTTGACGTAGGATTACGTGCTCGGTATCAATATTTGGCGACTATGTTAGGGAAACCACTTTTTGCAGGCAATCGGTGATAATTTTGATAACCATTTCAACAGTTAGACATTTGTGTAATTTTCAATAGTGACCTATTGAAAACTGATAAAGTATTCAATTTAGCAGCTTTGAAGAAAAATTACCAATCGATCGGCACAGCTTTCGACTAAATTTTCAAAAGCAACCAAAAATATCCTAGTACCGTCCCAATGACGCGTTCATCTGGATAAAATTGATAAATAGCAGATTTGCGATGGGCCCGATCTTAGATCCATAGGCCAACATTAGAGCCATTTCCCCTACAAAAAATTCTATAATCCATATTAAATTTCCTATGTAAGCGCCAATCGAAACAAACTTTTTGACGTCACTACAAAGGTTATTGAGTAAAAAACGAATCGTGCGAAGCGGAATGAAAGCCGAGGGAAAAACGGATTAATCATTTTGTCAAGCTTTTGCTTTCATGTTCCATCAGATGTCACTGCTGTTGTTGGGGGTGGCATCGATCGGAAACTACACATAATTTGTTTTCGAAGAACTGTTCACAGAGAACAGTGCAGTGCAAACATGTCTGGTACCTCTATATATGCATTTAGATTAACAACCGAAGTCCCCTTCTTTACACATTCTGCACTCAAAATAGCTCACCCCTCACAGGATTTCCTTCCGAATTGTATGAATGGGGCGGGGCAGAAAGTATCGTTTGGGCAGAATATGTAAAAAAGGAGGGGCTTTGAATGTTAATCTAAATGCGGCACCAGACATGTTTTGTAGTGTCAGATACTCTATTTTGTAATCTATGAAAGGAAATCACAAATAGGGTGGTTGTCATAAAAAAAACATGGCAATTGAGAGATTGAGCTCGTAAAAGCTAATTTTATCACAAATTTGAATTTTTTGACTTTCTAAGCAGGTAAAACTGTATGAAGAAAAATCTTTTATATTAAACAATATTGTCCGGGAAAACAAATGAATGTCCCTGACTAATTAATTTAACTTGGCGCTCACTTCTTCACCTGAATATACACCTAAAGCGAATTATTCCCACTTCTTTCCAATTCTATATGTGGATTTTTAAAACTTCCTACCAGCGGAACAGCACCGTCTCTGGAAAATGGCCGGACGATATGATTAATCTCACCAATACAATCAGGTCTACAATTCCACACCTTCTATAGACAGGTTGAGCCTTGATAGCTAACTGGTTGCGGGAACTGATAACCTTGACAAATGTCCAAATAATACTCTTTAACAAATTTGTGGTGGTCCTGAAAAGGACCATTTAGTCGTGATGGTTGAGTAATGCTGAGCTATTAGGGTGTTCAACACGGATGAGGCTGGCGATCTGTTAATTTTTTGGATCAAGGTTGACGCGCTAGGCATAGATGACTCACAGCTATTCACGAGGAAACTGATTTCGATCGCGGTGCGGCTTCTTCTTCCTTCTATGGATGCGCGCTGCTTTCAGGATGCCTTTCGTGGTGTACTGGATAACGATGTTAAACGCCACACGCCGAAAGTACTGCTGCTACTGATGCTGCTGCTGCGGATACCGTCGACCGGACACCACCACACACGGTGATTGAATGAGCACCGTTTAGTGAGACAGGATCAAATTCGATTTTTAAATCTGTGTTAGGGAATGCGCTGTTTGCAGGTAATCGGTGATAATTTTCATCACCATTGCAACAGTTGGACATTTGTGTATTTTTCAATAGTGACCTATTGAAAATTAATAAAGTGTTCGATTTAGCAGATTGGTAGATAAATTCCCAATTCTTTGGCTTGTTTAGAATTAAAATTCATCTGCTATTGACTTTCCGGTTTCGCACACAAGTAGCTATAGTCAACAAAGCCGCTGCTTTCTCCGCAAAACTCCGGATACTGATATGATCTAGAATCCTCCGCACAGCCGCCAACGTGGATCTCCCTCCAGTGAACAAGAGTCACTGGCTCGGAGATAGAAGCTGGCAACTTCCCCGAATCAAAATCGACAACCGGATGAAGGACAATTTTAAAGCAGGAGATAGCTCCAAGGCTTTGAGAAGGTCGGTTACAGTACTAAGTGCAGGAATATACCCCACCTACAGTCATCGGTACACTGACGGGTCACGGTCTCAATCAGGTGTAGGCATCGGCGTTTCCGGTTCAGTTGAAGCGATCAGTAGCAGCCTAACCTCGCAATGTTCGGTATTCTCAGCCGAAGTCGTAGCCATTCAAATTGTGGCAACCACTCCGTCCGCTCATCCACGGACTCACAGTGCTATCCAGGCTCTCCAGTCTGAGGCCCTAGTACACCCTTGGGTACAAAGTGTAATCCGGTTCGCACTTACCAGCACGGTATACGCTTGGATCCCTGGCGGACAACCTGACCGGAACGGGACCCTCGGGCCCCCGCCATTCTAGCAAAGTCC